GAATAACCAGTCTCCAACTCCATTTCCCCAGCTAAGAAAGGGAGACAGAGTAACAACAAATAAAGTCTCAGCTTCACCAATGCCCAAAGCAAACTGTTAGTAAATTTGGACAAATTGCACAAAAGTAGTCTCACCTGGCCTGCCTGTGCTGGAATGCAAACAGCCAGGAGAACGTGGGTGATCCGAACCTGCCCCAGTGGCAAACCACTTGACTAGCCTGTCAGGGCTACCAGCAGGCCTAAAAGCCTCCTCCCCAAGGACCCTCCTCTTTCCAGAACCCTTCCAGCATCCCTCCACAGGAGTACTGGATGAAGGTTTATAGGGCTGTCTCTTCCGGTCACCTGTACCCTTCCCACTCCCATAGCCTTCGGGCTGCACGAAAACGGAAGACAGGTAGAATCTATAACTGGAACTGTCTGCATGAATTTGAAGAAACTGAGGCTCAGAGACAGAAAGGCTTTTCTTCTCAAGTGATGGGTGGCTCCTCACATGTAATGATTTAATTGGCTTTCTAGATAACTGGCCATTGGAATGTTTATTAGCTGCTTCCTCCTGGGGAAATTTGCATCAGAACTGTCCTGGGTTTTTCGTTTTGTTGTATTGAATGGGTTTATTGGTTTGTTTGTTGGGCTTTGTTTTTTCCTCTCCCCCCAAAGTGGCTTTCATACTTGTCTATATATTGGAAAGGGAAGAAGTGGATGAGGAGAGGGAAGAAGATAGAAAAAGGAGGGAAGGTAGGAGATGAGTGGGAAGGATGAAAGAAAATAGAATAGAAGGAAGGGGGAAAGAAGAAAAACTGAAGGAGAGAGAAAAAGAAGGACGTCAAGGGGGAGAGAAGGAGGCATCAAGGAAAGCAGATACACTGCAGGTGTGGGCCTTTGAAAGCAGGAACAGGAGGAAGCAGTGTCATCAGGGCAGAGGAAAAAATCCAAGCTGGGGCTCTGGTAGGTTCCCATCCCCCATTCGCCCTGATGTCAGCCACCCAAACCTCCACTTACCCTCGCTGAAGACAAAATCTGAGATGATGTCAAAAGGCTGGATGTGGACTGCTGATAGGATCATGGTGACGGTCTTCTGGGGGTCGCTGGAGACCAGTGAAATAGTCTGCTGGGCTTGACATTCATAGGACCTCCCCGCTGGGGTGACCAGTGCAGAGAGGCGATGTGAGTTGGCAGTGTGCTTCCCAGCTGCAGCAAAGGCCAAAGCCATGGTTAGATTCCTGGAGCCAGCAGAAGCTTCTCACCCCCTGTGCCAGGTGGGGGAGTCTTGCCCCTGGGCTCCAGGTCCCACTCCTCCAGGAGGTGCTGCCCTGCTGGGGGCTCCCAAACCCAGAGTAGGGGAAAGGAAAACACTCCCAGGTTTTTCAAACGTGAAATTTGAGCCTTTTTTATGGAGAACAGTGGTAGCTAATTAAAAAAAAACAAACACTCCCAGGTTTTTCAAATGTGAAATTTGAGCCTTTTTTATGGAGAACAGTGGTAGGTAATTAAAAAAAAAACAAAACACTCCCAGGTTTTTCAAATGTGAAATTTGAGCTTTTTTTATGGAGAGCAGTGGTAGCTAATTAAAAAAAAACAACACTCCCAGGTTTTTCAAATGTGAAATTTGAGCTTTTTTTAAGGAGAACAGTGGTAGCTAATAGAAAAAACAAAACTTGTTTTTAACTATATAAAACTTAACAATGGAGACCCTCAAAAAGACAGAAAGAACAATTACTTTGTTTTCCACATTTGGCCCCTCAAAACAAACACCACCAAACCACCTTTTTGCTCAATAAAGCAGGGGTCTGCTGCTCAGGGGCCTGGTACATGCTCTTGCACACAAATGTCCTTTCTGACATGAGAGGCCCACTATGAATCAGAAGAGATTTGGTGACACACCTTAGCAATAGTAGCCCCCCATTTATCTGACTTCTGGTTGTCGTCTTTCTTTTTGGAAATGTAAGTGGAGCAATGTTTGAATATTTCCATAAAGAAGAAAGAAGGCTTTCTCTGTGATGAGAAGAGTGAGCCAGGGAGATGGCATTTTCTAGGGGCTCAGAAAACAGTGGGGGAGGCTGCACAGCACTGCGTGATTCTCCACTTCCACAGGATTCACAGTGCAAGTCCTAGGTGTGTGGATTTGACGGCAGTGCAAGTCTTATCCTGCTCAGCTCTGAGAGGAGGGCCTCAGGAAGGGGGAACAAGACAATTTAGAAAGAAAAAAAGCAAAATGTAGTCTTTGACCGGGCTTGCAGGTAGGAAATGAACACTGTAATTTGGTGAGTGGGTGCGACTCTTGGACAATATTTTCAGAAAAGGTGGGTGAGGTTTTAGAGTGGTGGTCAGGAAAATGTAATAAATTCAGACATAGGGCAGAACCCTCACAGGTTTGATGCCTGCCATCCCTGATGCCAGGCTCAAAAAGACGCTAAAGGCCACCATCCCCAGTCTACAAAGAAAGTCTCACTGCCCGGCTGCAGTTGTCGCCTGTGAGAACCATAAAATCAAGCAAAAATCAAGCTAGGCCCTTCTGTGTTCTTTCAAAGGGCAAGTGTTAAATAGACTTCCCAAGCAGCCTTTCTCTAAAGCACCAGCCTGGGCCAAGCCACAGTGCATGGTCTGATCATCAGGGCTTTGGGGCCCATGGTCTTAAAGTGTATCTTCAAGGGCCTAGAATTAAAGGATGCTCTGGCTGTCCTGGCTCTTCCTCCCGGGCAAGGAAGGCAAGCCCAGATTTGGCCTGGGGGCACCCAGCCTGGAAAGGTTTCCAAACTCCAGTGCTGGAGTCATTTGGGCCCCACACGTGCACTCCCAGGCTCCCGCAGCTGCCCTGCCCGCCTCCACTTACGACTGACTGCGTCTTTGAAATGGGTCTTCTCAGAGGAGTCATAGATGAACTGCACTTTGCTCAGCCTCCACGTCGCCTCTGGCCCCTTAGACGTATTGTGGCTTTCCTACGGAGCAGGGCAGGCGCGCGTCAGTGGCCCGCGGGCCTTCTAATCCCTGACTGCCAGCGGCCCCCGCTGCAACACACCCACCTGGGCGGTCGGCTTCCCCCGAGCCGCCCCGCGCCCTCCAGTTACCTTCACAAAGAGCAGCGTGAGCGCGTAGGCGCGATCCACCCAGAACACCTGCAGCTCTGACTCATTGTGGCCGCAGCGGCCCTTCACTTCAGCCCCGCGGGTCAACGCGATGTCCGCCTGTTCCGTGATCAACTGGGAACACAGACGCCCCCCCCCCCTCAGCGCGCCAGGCCCCCCGAGGCCGGAAAGGGAGGCGCGTCCAAACTCCAGGCTGCACGCTTGGGTGCTCCTTTGCGCGCGCGCGCGTGCACGCGCACTCCCAGGTCCAGGAACATGCGGTTAGATGCTCTACGTGCAGACGGGGGCGTTAGGGAAGCCGAGAGAGGGGTTTTACTGTCAAAGCAGGCACGGGGAGCAGAAGGTGCTGCTAGCCGGAACCCCCATGCAGCATTCGGGAGCAGCCTGCTGGGCCACCGGAGGGGGCAAAGGCCAGCGACCCAGTCTTCGCAGGGCCTGGATCAGGCGAGGCGGAGTGGGGGGTGGGGGTGGGGGTGGGTGCCCTTCGTCCCTGGTGCCCTAGGAGCAAGCTGGGGGAGGGAGGTAGTTTCCTTACATCGACATAATTGCTGGCCCACACATCATAAGGTACAATAAATTTAGCCGCAAACTCTGCCATGAGACACGTCGTCCCATTTTCCCGCACCACAAATATATCTTTTTCAGGGTTGGTGGAAAGGCCGGAGAGATTTTCCACTTCTTGTTCCGCCACGATTTTAGTCACCGAGTCTGCAGAAGAAACAGACAAACACATCGCATCATCAAGCCCCCTCGGCTGGGGCGCCAGGATGGGGACATTTGGTTCGGCGGCCACCGGGTTACAAAGTTCCTTGCCCACTGCTAGGTGCTCTGGCAGCCAGCCATGCCTCGAGCCAAACTCCACCCTGTTTGCTGTTCATTTAGAACTAAAATCCAAATTTTAAAAGCCTTGCTTATTTGTAAGCCTGCTGGTCTTTTTCTGCATTTTGGACTTTTACACCTAACTGTGCTTGCCAATACAGAACCATCGCCCGGCGCCATGGTGGGCTAGCTTATCCAGGTGTGGGTGGCTCGGGGGAACTCCCCGGCACCCTGCCCCCTGCCAGCGCACCAGAGCCAGCTGCGATCCCGAGCTATGGACTTGGAAATGCTGTTTCCCACAAAGGGGGCACCCCGCCCTGCCGGTGGCAGAAACACAACTCACAGAGCAGCATCAGGAGAACTCCGAGTCTGTCCACGCTGCGAACAGCTGTAGCGCGGAGATCCATGCTTGCAGGGCGCCTCGAATGCAGCCCGCGGAGCTGCTGCGGAGCCCGTCTGAGAGGGAATCCCTCAAAGTCGCCGCTGGAGCGGGCCGGGGTGAGAGGGCCGGGCGGTGGGGTGTCGAGTGGGAGGTGGAAGGGAGCGCGTGTGCGGTGCGCGCTGGCGACGACTGCTCGCTGGTGGGTGCTGCACCGCCCGTTGCAGGTGGAGCACGAGGCTGCTCACTGCGGAAGGACAGATCGCGATCCAGGGAGCTGTCCACGACCGCGCGTGCTGAAAGAACCTCAGATGTGTTGCCGGAGAGGCTGTGGCTTGGCTCGTGTGAAGGACCAATGAGGTTTTTAAAGGGCCAACCTTCTCTTTGGGTCTGTTTCCTGTTCTGCAGCCACGTCCGCAAAGATGAGTCTACCCTGAGAAAGTTAATAACGGCCTCAAACTTACCCCACCAGGTACACAGCGACTACGTGATCACATCATTTGAGGCTTGTCTTCTGAAAAGGCATCTGATTCCTGAAAAAACGGTGGCAGAGCACAAGTTGTAGCTGCTGAGGGAAGGAGGGGGAGGCTGGAAGAGAGAAGGAAAATGCTATGGCAACAGTTCCTTCTGCCTTTAGAGAGAGACATCGCCTTTCCCCTACTCCCACTGAGCTTCCCTCAGACTCTGTGGTGCATGCAGTTGTTTTCCTTGGTGTCTGCTCCCTGCTTGCATGAGTCCCATGCATTCTGCCATCACCTACCCTCACTCACATTGTGACCACTCTGCCAAGAGGAATGTAAGTGAGCCGGCAGTTCGAGGTTATCCAGGGCTTCTTAGGCCAGAGATTTTAAAATGATGACCTAAGCAACGTTATTGTTATGGGGTGTGTGTGTGTGTGTGTGTGTGTGTGCATATGAATATTACTTTTAAATCTCTAGTGGCAAAGCAAATACTATGGGCTAATTCCTGTGTTGACACTGTGGTCAACATGTTTATTTTACATTGTTGCCCTATATATTAGAATACAACTCTTCTAGCAATAGACACGTTGTCTTCAACAAATGTAGGGATGTCCAAATATTTCGTTTTTAAAGGCTGGATCACTAGGGTGATAAAGAAAATTGTTGCATCAGTGATACATTCTCAGACAACAAATGATTTCATATTTAGGTTCAAACTGCCAAGTACTTTCACATGCATTGTTCCCTTGGATAATTCCCACACTCTTAGAAGACAAGCAGAAAGAATCCTCTCCTGGGGCTGTACATCCTCAAAAATTGAGGCTCCAAAGAACTGATGACCTTCTCAAATGTCATGTGCTTAGTTAGAATTAAAATAGAACAATCACATGCTTTAACTTCTTTGGGATCACCTTTATTTTTCCTTTTATAATAGCTTTACTCCAAAATGGATCATATTATAACTTCTATTTATAAAAATCGTCATTCAGTAACAAGATAGTAAGCTGAACAGTCAGATCTCTATTGTTAATTCACAGCCTAGAAATGCATAAACTGTGGGTTTAAGCCTAATCACTTTTTGACATTTTATTTGCTACAAAGTTTCTATTTGTTGCTTTAAAACCTATTCCTGTGTCAAAAATTTAATGAGACAGAATAGCTCACAGTAAATGAATGTATAAAATGTATAAAAACATTAAAAGGTCAACATAATTAAATCTATCCCACCAATATTAACTAAATAACTTAATGACTGAATGGTCATACTGAGACTGGTGCTTTGGAAGCCCAAAACATAAATAAATAAAGCAAATACCATTATACAAATTAGAAGAAATGCCTGTTAATGAACAATTATGTACAATTTTCTTGTGGTAGGTTTCTGCATATAGCCCTACCTTATCATGTGTTAAAAGATCGATTGAATTAATTCACAGTTATCTGTTGTAAAAATGAAAGCTTTCATTAAAAATAACATTGATCACTGCTTTATGATCTTCACTTGTTAATGTATACATCAGGTTGCTTTGGAAATTACTTATTTTCATACCTGATATAAATGATTTCTGCACTGACAGCACAGTGTATTTGAGTAAGTTCAAAGACAAAAATAATTTATTAATCTTTTCTCCTTTAACACATAATAGTTTAATGCCCTTTTTGGCATTTAACTTGAACAAAGTTTATGAATACTCAATAATCTATTGAGTATTATTTGTATTGAATTTGTATTATTCCCAGTGATCATTACACCTTCAATTCTCACCTATATTAATTAGATAACTTTCTAATCTCACTGAAAAAATAATTTTATTTATTTAAAATAATCAAGATGGTGATAGAGGAGCACAATTTATCCTATATCATATTTTAAGATGTTGATAAAGTTTTCTACAATTTGCTTTATTATTTTTTAAGTAGGGGAAGGCTGGAGGAACTGATATATAAAAATACACTTGGGTGGATGGGGATGGTGTAAATGTTCATCCTTGCTATTGGTGGTCAGTCCAAAATGTCAGAATTCGGTCTTTATGACCCAAGCAGATAAACTTCAGGGTCTTCTCTAGATGCCTCCACATATTGTCTCCTATTCATGTATTTGGTTTTAGTTTTTTTAATTAGCCTGTTCAAGTGCCGTGCTGTTGGGTGATAGGAAATTGAGAAAATAGAGGATAAAACCCTTACACAGGTAAAATAGAGCTTGCTGTTTGGATGGGAGACAATAACATGCATGAAGGGGTGAGTGATACTTAGCACAATTTGGCCACAGATAGTCAAAGGAAAAAGTTAAGACAACCATTCTAGGAGAGTGGAATTTAGGGATAAAGCCTGCTGAGAGACGGTGAGTCTTGAAAGACTTGGACAAATTGACCTGAGGCAGAAGAATAGGAAGGGTGAGGCAGATGAAACAGCTATCAGACAGGGGAGTCAGTACAAACATGGCATGCTTCATCCTCCCATCCTCATCAATGTTTCATAAAGAAGAAATTGGGCAAAACACTGCAAGGCTATGTGTGCTACATCATCCATATTTACCTTTGTTGTTTGACGTTTGACTCACACCCTCACTGACATGCAAAAGCTGCCCTGACTAAAGCTAAACATCTCGTGTTGTCTTTTTCTTTTCTGTGTATCCCTTTATCCTTAGTTGCACCATCAAATGGGTTGATGGATAAAGTCAGGAAATAACATAAGGGAAATCAACAACCAATACTCATTAGAAAAATATGCCTATGATAATATATATTTTTGATAATATATTTTTAAAGAAAATACTAGGCTTTGTTGCAGATGAAATTTGGCTTCTGGAGGTCTCAGTCCACTGTACTGTGAAATGCAAAACCGTCCGGCTACTCTGGGGGCTCATACAGCTCTTATCACCATCCATACATCCATCCCTTGTGTCAAGCACATTTGTACTTAGGTTACCATCATAATTTTCAAAGCATTTTCTTTCTACTTGAGCCCTTGATATCAGCTCCTCATTTTTTCCCTCCCTCTTCCAACCTCCCTCCCTCAAGAACCCTTGATAATTTATAAATTATTATTATATTTTCATGTCTTATACTGACCAATGACATGGTATTTTTAACTCCTTTACCAAGTTTTCACACCAGGAAATAATAATAAATGGGCCTGACAAGCCACAGCTCATTTAAAATGATTTCCAATCTAAATTATGAGATAATGTAATTTCTTAAAATCTTGTTTTTGACATACAGGGGTCTCTTGTGCTCTGTTAAGTTTATTTCCCCCCTATTTGTCCTTGCGCTGGGATCTGAGGATAATTTATATTAATGGCCTTAGGGGAGTAGGTTGAGGCAAGCATCTGCCGTGCTCCCCTGGGATGCTTAATTTGGAATACCCGCAGGGCTCTGATACTGGAATTTTTTAACGTTTCTATTAACAGTAAGATTCCTGGTGGAGTCTTGGTTAAGGTCTGTGGTTCAACTCACAAGTCTCTGCGGAGGAGCTGCAGCAATAAAAATGTACATAAACATGCCTGCATCAATAAAAATGGACAGCCTGGAAAAAGACAATGAATTTGATTTTGGTGTTTTGTGTGTGTGTGTGTGCCATGTATGTGTGTGTGTACCTTGCAAGATGCTCAAATAACCGAGAAAGACAAGAGGGGAATACTCCACAGTGTTCAGAAAGACACCTGGAAGGGGGGTCTAGGAAGAATTGTGTGTGTAATGACTTTATTATCCTAGCAGTGATAGTATTTGGGAGGAGTGGATACATCTCTTGGTCTTAGGGGTTTCATTCCCAAAAGATCCCTCTAAGACTCATCCCAACTAGTGATCTTGGTTGGGGAGCAATCTGAAAAATTCTTTCAGGGAAACCATGCTGGGCTTTCATGATGAAAATACAGTATCTAAGAGTGTTGAAGTATGAGCTGGTCAGGACACAGGTCCGTGGCTTTGGGTCGCAGGGGCATGAGGGCCTGGACGCTTAACGCCTGAGCACTGGTTCCAAACTTCCCAAGGCGTGGGAGGCGAGCGCTGCTGAGGGCATCTGGCTGCTGACAGCAAGGAGCTCTTCTTGAAGGCGTCCGCCTGGGAAAATCTGTAGGCTTCGCAGGCAGATGGGGCTCCTGGGTACACTCGCCCAGCCACGTCCAGTGAAGAGTTGGAAGACAAAATGCGTGCCCACTTGCCTAAGGGGAGGTCCATCCCAGCTCCAAAACCGGGATGGGGGTGCTTCATCGCTGGATGCTGGGGTTTGGGACCACAGAGAACACTGGGTCTTTCATGTTCGGTGGTGGAAGGTCACAGACTGGGAAAAAGGAGGAAGAAAGTTCCTTGGCACAATGTGTACCCCTGCCCCCCGCAATCTTTATTTATTTGGGGGGGGGTAGCTTCCCTCCAAGCTTTTTGCTCCCTAGAAGCAAGCAGTGCCAAGGTACACCTGAGGGTGGGCGGTGGGTTTGGCGCTCCTTCAGCCTAAGGCTTTTTAGATCCCTTCTCCAACTGGAAATAAATGGGGAGCCAGGGGGTGGGGTAGAAAGGTGAGAGGGGAAACGGGTCACAGAAAGTTCTCTTCCTTTCTGTCCCACACCGCCTGTGGAGGGTCCACCCCGAGGGCCACTCTCCCGGAGCGCCCTCCAGCTTCAGCCTCCTGGTACAAAAGAGGATGCTGCGCTCGGCAGCTTCAGCCTCCTGGTACAAAAGAGGATGCTGCGCTCGGGCGCGCGAGCGCCCAGGAGTCCGCGGAGCCCGGCAGGGCTTCCGCCATCCCATGCCCCCGCCAGGCTTCCCAGCCTGGCAGCAGATGGTGCTCGGAAGAAACGGAGGCTGCAAGACGGACTGGGGACGGGGATGGGGGAG